GGATCCTAGTGTGGTCATTCACTTGACCTCACCTCGGCAAAACGGAGTGCCGACGAGATACACCCTCCGTGTATCTGGCCTTTTCGTCGTTTCTGCCTACGCCCCCACTGACTGCAGTTCGGATGAAGTGAAAGATGAATTTTACAGAAAACTCTCTGAACTTCTTCAGAAAACTAAACGTTCAGACATAGTACTCGTAGCAGGCGACTTTAATGCCCAGGTAGGTAGCTTAAACGAAACAGAAAGACATTTGGGTGGGTATTTTAGTATTTCGGCACAGCGAACAGATAATGGTGATCGTCTGCTGCAACTGTGCTCAGACAATCGTTTATTTTTAGCAAACAAATTTTAAGCATAAGGAGAGACACCGTCTAACATGGCGACCCCCTGCACCAAATTAACGATGAACTCAAATAGACCATATTGCCATCAGTCATCGTTGGAGAGGGTCAATAGAAGATTGTCGCTCATTCTGGAGTAACTGTTTGAACTCTGACCATGCCCTATTACGAGCACGCATATGCTTGCGCCTCACTGGACGCAAACAAGCCACATTAAAAAGATCCATTAGAACTAAACTGAGTAACGAGAAAACCAAAAGTAGGTTCCAAGAACAACTGAGGTAGTTCTGAAAACAAGGCTGACCAGATGTTGCTTGGAAAGATACACAATCAGCTGTGGAAACAGCAGTGACATCTATTAGTGATTTAAACCAAAGGGTTACAAAGAACGAATGGATTTCTTCAAGGTCTATTGCACTGATGGATTCTCACAAACTCATTCCATCAGGATCTAAACACGATGAAGGGCGGAAACAAATCAGATCTAGGCTAAGCAAAAGTCTAAGGAATGATCGTGAGCAGTGGTGGGCAACGAAAGCAAAAGAGATGGAAAAGGCGGCGGCTATAGGGAACACAAGACAACTCTACAGACTAACAAAAGAAACTGGAATTAATAAGTCAAGTGTAAGTCAGACTATTTGGGAAAAAAAGACACTCATCTGCTCCCAGTCCAGACGTTTAGAACGATGGGCGGAACACTTTAAGGAGTAGTTCAGCTGGCCTTCAGCTATTCTACAACTACCCTCCATTCCCAGACAGTGTGAATGGAACATTGAAGTAGGTCTACCAACTCTAGCTGAAGTTCAAAAGGCTATAGTTAATCTAAAAGAAGGAAGGGCAGCTGGTCCAGATGGATTGACTCCAGAGGTCTTTAAGGATGGTGGTCCAATTTTAGCGACTAGGTTGACTAATATTTTAGTTAAAATCTGGGAGTTGGACATAATCCCCTCTGACTGGTCATAATCACTTATGGTCCCAATATATAAGAAAGGGTCAAAATCATTCTGTGACAACCATAGAGGGATTAATTTAACTAATATAGTATCTAAAATACTAGCCTCGGTAATTATCGGACGCCTAACGAAGACTCGTGAACTGCAAACACGAGAGAATCAAGCTGGCTTCAGACCTGGTCGTGGATGCAAAGACCATATATTCATCGTTCGTCAGGTTCTAGAACACAGACATATTTATCGGCGTCCGACAATGCTGGTCTTCCTTGACTTAAAAGCAGCATTTGACTCTGTAGACCGAGAGGCTCTGTGGCAGTGTCTGTCATTGAAAGGCGTACCCCAGAAGTACGTAAACCTTGTGAAGGCTCTTTACTCGAACACTACTAGTCGAGTCAGAGCTTGTGGTGAACTGTCATCTACTTTTGCAACCTCAAGTAGTGTCCGTCAAGGCTGTCCACTTTCTCCATTTTCTTTTGACTTCATCATAGATCTACTGATGGAAATAACGCTCTCATCTACTGAATTCTCGGGCATTGATCTCCTACCAGGAGGTCCACTTATCGACTTAGAATACGCAGATGACATAGTCCTGTTTGGTGAAGACGCTGATAAAATGCAGAGTCTTTTGGTAGCACTGAGCAACAATGCCAGAATGTTTGGAATGCACTTCTCTCCCTCTAAATGCAAGTTGTTGCTCCAGGACTGGTCTGTGTCAACACCTGAACTAAGGATAGGGAGTGAAATAGTTGAACGCGTTGACAACTTCACTTATCTTGGAAGTCTGATTAGCTCTAATGGATTGGTGTCTGACGAAATCTCAGCACGGATTCGAAAAGTTTGTTTGGCTTTTGCCAACTTACGTGACCTGTGATGAAGGCGAGATATCCGTCTATCAATTAAGGGACGAATATACTGCGCAGCAGTTCGTCCCGTTCTACTATACGGCTGCGAAACATGGTTTTTAAGAGTAGAAGATACTCGTAAGTCACTAGTATTTGGCCACAGGTGCCTTAGAAATATTGCTCGCATCTGCTGTGATCACCGGGTAAGTAATAGTGAGGTTAGACACAGGGTATTAGGGAATAATGGTAAATCACTTGATGAGGTTGTGAATCTTCATCGACTGAGATGGTTAGGCCACGTGTTATCTATGTCTGAACACCGATTACCACGACGCGCAATGCCAACCGGTGTTGGGGATGGTTGGAAGAAGGTTAGGGGTGGCCAAACCAAAACGTTGCATCAGTGCTTGAAGACACTAACATCTGGTCTGAGCCATGTTGGTAGATGCAGACTACCTGGTTGGGGTCCGCGTGACTGTCGTAGCCAATGGTTGGAGACTCTGAGTGATATAGCTCAGAATCGATCACAAAGGCGTAGGTGTATACACTGTCTTCCTTTAAACTAAGAGATGAAAATCGCTTCATATCTTTCTTCCCGTAATATGTCCTTATAAGCAATCTTTTATTTATTACCACCACTGAATTAACTACTATGAATCCGGTGTCCATCTTGCTGTGCTGAGGTATGGCGACTTGGACCAATGTATATATGTGCCTGGTCATACACTGTAGCTGACTGACTGTTTAAGGAATTGTACATGTGTCACGACTATTAACCGGATCCCAATTCAATGGTGCACATGGGCCCCAATATCCTGATTTCTTCTTCTTTTAACACATAAGTATAGGTACAGGGAGGCACCAAATACATATGCGCGCCACAAATCTCAATTGATTTGTGTGAGGGCTGTGATACTGCCCGGGTGCCCAAACCGAAGCAGGTGGTTTTCTTAGGGGGCCACACCCCGAGCCTTTGACCTGAACGTCTGACCCACAAGGCAGTGGATCATCGTAAGGAGATGCAGTCCCTTGGTAACCGGTGACCAACGATTGTTTCATACACCATTTGTTCCTTCAGGATACTGGAGCCCATATGCACCATTGGTTTAGGATCCGGTTAAATCGCCGGAAATTCGCTTTTCGTCCTCTCATTTTCGTAAACAACAGTAATGCCACGAGAGGGCAGTGAGTAGGACTTCCCTGACAGAGGCTATATACTTGTGGCCATGTGAGAGCATTTGGAGAGGGAGAGCTGAATCTCCCCCTCTCGGCCGTACCAAGGCATTTGGGGGCCCTTTAAACTAAGAGATTAAAATCGCTTCATATCTTTCTACGAACTAATTCTTTCTGCCTATACTATCTTATATACAATCTTTCTTCTATATATTACCACCACTGAATCAACTACTATGAATCCGGTGTTCGTCTTGTTGTGCTAATGCTGTATGGCGACTTGAACCGATGTATATATGTGCCTGGTCCTACGTTGCAGCTGACTGACTGCCTGTAAAAAGTTGGCTTTCGTAAAAAATATCCAAACAAACAAAATATGGCTTTCAAAGTTTAGGTAGATCAATCAACGAATACTTAACATACGCATTGCTTAAAGCCGTCTTGGTATACCAACTAAATCAAATGACGATTTGAAACGGAAATTATTTCTGTCAAAATCTGTCTCATAAGCTGAAGAGGAAAAAAATTAACTTCATTCCCCCGCTGTTACTTTAACTAGTGCATCCATCATTTTGGAAGTATTGTTTTGCTTTATATTTTTTGGCTGTCATTTACCCACACTTTTAAAATCTAATTGTTAAAATACATTAGATGAAACCTCGATCCGGGTAGTTAGGAAATATGAGTTCCTTAGGCCCTGTTACTGCCAGTGGTGTTGAGAGTCATCTCTCCTCAAAATGCTCTCACACGGCCACGTGTATACATCCACTACCTTCTCACAGCGGGGATGTTGTTCACGGAATTCGGAGGACGAAAAGCGAATGCCCGGCGCTTTAACCGGTTTGATGGATACTGAGGTTCCACTTAGGGGGGTTGAAAAACCCTGATTTCAAACCACTGGTGCACATGGGCTCCATAATTCTAAGTAAACAAATGGCATATAAACCTATCGTTGGTCACCGGCTACCATGGGACTGCATCTCCTTACGTCGCTCCACTGCCTTGTGGATTAGACCTTTAGCTTAAAGGCTCGGGGAGTGTTCCTCTAAAAGGACCGCACTCGATCAGGATGCCACCCCTCACGCAAATCGAATGGTGAAGTGTGGCGCATATGTATTTGGCGCCTCTTTGTACCAATGTTTATGTGTTTAACCGTATAGCTTCGTCTGGGGATCACAGTTTTCCTGTGAAATTCCTAAATACCTCTTGTTCTCTTCAATAACTGTTAGAAGTATATGTATTCTACTGTTACATGTACTTCTAAGACCATCCAAAGCAAGTAAAAAATATATTGGGGATAATAGAGATTGTTAGATTTTGTAGTTTAGCATCACAAGCTGGGCTTAGGTAGCCATTAAGAATCAGGAAGCACTAGACAGCTGTTTCTTCCTAGTGTAGGGACTCTCCAGTCGTGTACACCCATGATTTTTACTGGGGATTGGGATTAGGAACTCTAAGGCCTGTAAGTCGCGGGTTGTGTATCAGGTGTTGAAGCACCGTAGGTTATAATAATTTAAGTGATAAACAATAAATGGTTTCTCAAAATTAAATGAATTAACACTATTGTTAGGATTAACTGTTTCTCTTATTTGGCTATTATTCAGATTTGTTCTGTACATAAGTTTTGTTTTTTACTTTCGATGTATTCTTTTTGTATCAACTTTTAGACTCTCTTTTGAGAGTGTGATTTCATGGAATATTTCTCTGGCACACTTAATATTCGAATATATGAAGCAGCTGAATTAAAACCGACAGCTTGTGCAACTCGTCATGCGGTTGGACCAGCTGCTAAATTATATGAACTTTTAGATCCCTATGTGACAATCGATGTGGATGATAATGCAGTTGGTAAAAGTTCCACAAAATCCCGTACAAATATACCACAGTGGAATGAAGATATTTGTGCAAGAATCAATTATGCTCAACAACTTACATTTACTGTATATCATGATGCTGCTATTCCCCCTGATGATTTTGTCGCCATCGTTGAGTTGGCTTTACGAGATGTTCGATTTGGTGAAGATATGTGGTTGGAATTGGAACCTCAAGGAAAATTACTTATACGTATTGATTTGGCTGGTACGAGAACAGATGAACCGCCAAGAGACCGTCCAGGATTTCCTAGTCGAGATAGTGCTATTGGCGGCGTACATGGAAAGCATTATCGTTGTGGTGCACTTCGTCGTAGAATTCACCAAGCAAAAGGTCATAAATTTCAAGTTACAAGTTTGCGCCAATTTACATTTTGTTCATTGTGCAATGGATTTATTTGGGGTTTATGGAATCAAGGTTATCAGTGTCAAGTATGTACATGCGTTGTTCACAAACGTTGCTACTTAAATGTAATAACTCAATGTCCTGGTGTAAAATCACCTCCAAGTTGTCCAACAGCTGCTCTCCAAGTAAGTTAATTAAGATGATAAATGAATACTAGTTAGATGCATAAGTAAAGTTTATTAATCCGACAGTGTAAATGGTCATCTTTAAATGTAATGTGGTTTATTTTAATTATGTTATAGTAATATCAATTCAATGATTATTCAAACGATATTATCTTTATATCTTAGCATCTTAGTATATCACCTATCTACACTACTAAGTCATGAGTTCGAATATTACTTTATATATCAAAGTTTAAGTAACTATATAGTATCAGTAACCATCCTTCCAACCTGTTTCATAAATACTTTCACATAACTACAAGCTTGATGAGGTTGCGAACCATCGTCAACTGTGATGATTGGAAGGTTTGTTACGTATACCGAATCACCGTCTACCTCGACGGATAATATTTGCTAGTATAAAAGTCGGTTGGAAGAAAGCTAGTGACTGCCTAATTAAAAAACGGCATTAATCTATGAAATCATAGACTGTTGATGTGAACCGTTTAGACAGATGCATACCAGTTTGTTTAGGTCTGCACAAAAACCATGGTTAGTGACTAAAGACTTTGGGTGATAAGGTTCAGAATCTTTCACACTTCCACAGTTGCATCCACTCTTTATCTTTCACTCGATCTTGAATTCTAGTATTCCCTCATACATATTTTTACACTCTATCTTTTTGAACTATATTTTCACGCTTCAGTCTTTCTCATTGTTTTTTTTTTTGCTGTACGTTAGTGATAAGTAACTAACTAATAATGTTATATTCATGTTATTATCAAATGATCTAATACAAGTAAGTTTTAAAACCTACAACTTCATGAGTAGAAATTCAATTTAAACTAATTCATTGTTTTACAATCTATCTAATACTAAATTTTCATTTTAAATCCTTGTTATTTTTTACACTGTAATTGTGATTTTTAACAAATCTCTCTATGTAGAGAAGAGCTAAAGCGTACAACCACCTCTTTCCTTCATGCTTAATTAACGGTGAGGTAAAATGGTAAAGTTGATAAATTTTGTTTTATTGATATTTCGGAAATAGCTTTGGTTAAAATATGCAGTAATAGTACACTACTCCCTGGAGGAAAATGACAGTGATAATGATTTCTCACTTCATAGTGAAATATAAACTACATAAATCATGCTTAATCAGTTGACGACCAACATTAACTATGGTATATAATTTACACTGACGTAAACTACTACAAAAGCCGTGGAGGTTTTTGTCTGGATCCACATTTTGTGATGAGCCATTTAAATTAATAAGTTTATTTATTCAAGTAACTGTTAGTGTATGGTGTCGGTAGTTATGATAAATGAGATCGATCTACGTATAATAAAACCTATAGACAATTTGGCCTATCAAATAGCCTCAAAGATAGTTATAAATTGACATTATCTACCTTTTTTCCTCCAACGCTATCTTTCACATCTCTTTTTTTTCTTTCTATCGTTTACTAGAGTCGCTTCAATATTAATGTTCCTCACAAATTTCGAATTCATACATTTATGCGTCCAGCATTTTGTGATCATTGTGGTTCTTTGCTATTCGGTTTAATGCGTCAAGGTTTACAATGTGAAGTTTGTCGTTTAAATATTCACAAAAGATGTGAGAAAAATGTTGCATCACATTGTGGAGTAAACACACGTAATCTAGTAGCTGCAATTCGACTATGTGGACTTAATCCATCGGATCTAGGTGTTAGCCCATCAGGTACAACTACACTGACACCAGGACCTGGAGTTACCGGTCCAAGTCGAACCGCAAGTACTACAATCTCTTCAGTTCGTCCTATATCGGCTGGTTCACGTGGTGTTGGTCCTTTCGGTGCTTACGGTGATGTCGTTTTCTCAACTTCACCTGGACCTTTAAAACCAAGTAAAGGTGATACCGGTTTTTCTAGGTGAGTGATCAGATCAATTTAGTTAAATCTTTTTAATAGGATTATTAAACATTCATACACTAATCATCAACATCAGTCATACAATAGTTTCCCCTCTCTCTCAATTTATTTCTCCACATTTGGTGGTACGAGAGATTATCTGTTATAAATACATGGGCTAAGTTAGGATTTTTTTTTCTGTTATTGGTGTTGTTGAGTAATTCCCTGAGGTCGACGATTTAATCGCAAAGTTTTCATTGTTCTAGACAACATCAGAATCGACTTCATTTGGTAAGTGAGCTCTTATAATGTTACACTGTGAATGACGGCGAAAGCTCAGCAATTGAATCATCTAGCTCAGAGAACTCATCAACACCAAAACTATCCACCTAAGCTACAAATCCTCATTATCTCACTTCGTACTAAATTGTAAACTTAATAAACTATAAAAACCATTATACTTGTACTGTGTACTGTTCATTATGCTATTTATATTTTCTAGAAATTGTAAACCGGTTTTTCAAGCAGTTATGAGTGGCCAAACTAAAACGTGGTATCTGTCCATGAAATCGTCGACTAGTGGTCTAAGCTATGTAGGTAGATGCATACTATCTGGTTGATGTCAGCATGATAATCGTGATCAGCCATTGAAGATGTTAGGTGGCATGACTCTGAATTGTTTTCAATGGTTCACTTGCATTCATTCTATCTTCCCCTCGATTTCGAACTCGAGTATCTGTTCATCCATATGTTTTAACTCTGTCTTTTAAAATCATTTCCCTACGATTAAGTTTTAGGTTTTATCACAGCTGTTACATTATTTCAATCTCTCGATATTTTCATCTTGTCATGCCAGTCAGGTATAGCAACTTGGCTCAACATACAAATTGTGCCATGCTTTATGTTGATATGTACCTATATCATATTTCAATAGTTGAAATCATGAGTCAGTTGAAGCTAGACCACCATGAAAAACCTGAAAGCATTGAACGGCCATTTCGTCCTAGTATGGGACACCTCAGCAGTGCGCATCCACGATCCTGCCCTCCACGAGATTCGATCCCAGGACCTATCAGTCTCGCGCGCGGGCGCTTAATCATTAGACCACTGAGCCGGCATCTGATGGTGGTCTAATGGTTAAGCGCTCGCGCGCGAGACTGATAGGTCCCGGGATCGAATCTCGTGGGGGGCAGGATCGTGGATGCGCACTGCTGAGGTGTCCCATACTAGGACGAAATGGCCGTCCAGTGCTTTCAGGTTTTCCATGGTGGTCTAGCTTCAATCGACTCATGGTTTCAACTATTGGAATTACTAAAATCTCCACAAAACCCCTTTTGATATTATATCATATTTATTGACTCGAAAAACCGAAATAATCATCTCAGCAACTGGATAGGTATTTATTTAAAAGGCTTTGTTAAGTTGTAGACGAAATTAATTTGAAATATTTCAAGAATTCTCTTAGCTGTTGCTACGTTTGAAGAGATTATAATGTTACATAAACCCGGCGAACGGGACGAAAATCAAAAACACAACAGGATAAACTAAACGGTTCAATTGCACCCCAGCGGTGTTGACTAGAGGAAGAAGACTAGATACGGCCGAGGGAAATGTTTATTCCACAAACAATCGGAGACACGAACAAAGAATCACACAACATATACGTATATAAACAGTACAAAAATGTCTTTGGGAAAACATCACAAAATAGCGTACTAATAGCGGAAACGAACCAGTGACATTTAAGATCCTTTTAAGTAGGAAATACAAACTGAAGGTAAAAGTGGGTGCTTTTAATGCGGAAATGAGATATTCAAATTTCCAAAATACAACTGCAAAAATGAGACGTTTACCAAGTGATTTCTGGGGATCTAGCAACCCTAACAACTGTTTATATGATGATATTTTATTGCTCATAAAGTTATAGCATTGTGGTATATATACATATAATGTCTCTTTAAAAGTGAGTATACACCATAAATATACCATTTACAAATGCAATCACACCAATAAAGACATATTAACTGAAGATCTGGTTTTCGTTGAGTGTGCATAAGCCGATCTCAAACGTCGAAGGAAAAAATTCGTCTTTTTCAACCAAATTGATTGTCGCATTAATGACTTGCTTGTTGTTAAATCAACATGTAGTGTATATTTTAATGTAGGATAGGTTTAAGGCTATACACTTGTAGAGAATTTAAATTAATCCTAAAATCGTTTTATTAAATATCACAATTTTGATTTTATATTATTATTCATTTGAACACATAAATATTGGTACAAAGGGGCACCGAATATATGTGCGCCACACAAGTCACTTGGTTTGTGTATGGGCTGGGATACTGCCCGGGTGCTCAGACCAAAGCAGGTGGTTTTCTTAGAAGGCCACACCCGGAGCCTTTGACCCAAAAGGTCTAATCCACAAGGCAGCGGAGCAACTTAAGGAGATGCAGTACCATAGTGGCTGGTGACCCCTAGGTGGACCCTTCGTGTCCACCAACTCGGCTAATGTGCCGGACATTCACTTTTCGTCCTCTAAACTTCGTAAACAACACCCCGCCGCGAAAAGGCAGTGAGTAGTATTCCCGTGGCAGTGGTTGCATACGCATGGCCATGTGGGAGCGTTTCGAGAGGGAGAGTTAACTCTCCCCACCCTCGACCGTACCAGGGCATTTTGATTACAATAAAGAAATCATAATAACAACTAATCAATATTACAATGTATTCCTACTTAACATCTATTCAACTTGTATATTAACATTCATATATACATGAGTATATTTTCATTTAATGACCTTTTTTTCTCATCAGTACATGATTATATATTGAATGTTGTATGAACTCCAGTTCACTTCAATGATCTGTCATTTACAAAACGTATAACATAAAAGATATATATATATATATATATTGTTCACTGTAATATTTCATTTCATTAAAGTTTAACAGGAATTAGGGAATGATGGTAGGTCAGTTGATGAGGTTGTGAATCTTCATCGACTGAGATGGTTAGGCCACGTGTTATCTATGTCTGAACACCGATTACCACGACGCGCAATGCCAACCGGTGTTGGGGATGGTTGGAAGAAGGTTAGGGGTGGCCAAACCAAAACGTTGCATCAGTGCTTGAAGTCACTAACTTCTGGTCTGAGCCATGTTGGTAGATGCAGACTACCTGGTTGGGGTCCTCGTGACTATTGTAACCAATGGTTGGCGACTGGGTGACATGGCTCAGAATCGATCACAATGGCGTCGGTGTATACACTCTCTGTGTTCCTTTAAACTAAGAAATTAAAATCACTTCATATCTTTCTACGAACTAATTCTTTCTTCCTGTACTATCTTCTTATACACAATCTTTCTTCTATATATTACCACCACTGAATTAACTACTATGAATCCGGTGTTCATCTTATTGTGCTAATGCTGTATGGCAACTTGGACCGATGTATATATGTGCCTGGTCCTACATTGTAGCTGACTGACTGCCTAACAGGAATTACCTTCACAATAGGTTTTAAACTTTTATTTAAAAAAACTTTTGATTAAATAGATAATGATTGACAGCGAAAATATTTTTTATAAGAAGTTTTTTTAATATTTTGTCAAATTAGAAAGTGATATGGTTAGCCAATCAGAAGTAGTATAATAAGAAGTTTGGCGGGACCATAATTTATGGACGAACCAATCAGATTTAAGATAACAGATTTTTAGATTTTAGCGCGAAATTCATCCCCTCATTTAGCTAAATACTATTTCGGCATTATGGCTGGTTTCAGTTCGTGATGTAAACACTAAATCCAATTTCTAACCATTAACTGTAAATCGTAATTCTAATTCCTCACACTGGTTTATAATCATCATTTTGTCCTAGTTAGTAGTAAGCGGGCGTTTTCAGGGTCACTTAATAGTCAGTCACTCAAGGGCTGTCCATAAATTATGGTCTCACCAGAAAGTCAATCGATGGCAATTAGAAGTGACCTAAAACGACAAGTGCATTTCATTAGCTAAGAAATGGGTCAATTTCCTAAGGATAGAGCAGTATATGTATGAATGAGAATTTGTGCATTTTATTCGATAGTCCAATATACTTTTTTGCTTAGGTAGTCAGTTGGGGGGTTAGCGCTTAGCATCAGATTTCGAACGCTGCCCATCACAACAGAAAGCAAATGACTTAGAAATTCGACCACTCTACCGATATTAATTTTATCTAGAATCGTAAGATCTGTAACTATGAAATCAAACAATACATTTTTACGCAATAGGCCCCATATAAAACTTTTACAATAGCCAAATAATCCTACAATTGCTACTCATCCCTGTTCTATCAAGTAACTAAACTAATTAGTAATTAAGTAGTATGTTGTAATCCTGACTGATACGAACCACCAAGTATTAAATAGTGTACGCTGGACTTTGAAATTCACTTCATGTGTTTGGGGTTACTGATCAAACGGTTGATATTATTTATATTTACATTCTAATGTTCCCCTTATTGTAAGCACTCTCAATTATTGCTAATCAATTATGTATTGTTTGCTTTGCTCTCCGTCATACACTGCATGATTTTACTAAAAATATGACTTCTTATTCAGTGTGCTTTGTAGTCACACATTTCAATTATATTATTGTGTGCATTTTGAGTCATAATTCAATTGAGTATAATAGGGGAGCTTATTTGCTTCCTACCTTCGTCTGGGCTAAAAAAAGCTCAAGGATCACTAAGCGTTAAGGTCTTGTCTGTTGTTCATCGGTCGATCTGTCAATTGGTACTCAAAAGGTCACCGATCCTACTGGCAAAATAAATAAACTAATCGACAATCAGAATCTTTATCGTTCAATCTAACACTTAATATCGATTAGCGTCTCACGTTACACCGGAAACTATATCCTTATCTCTTTCTATCACCATATATATAAAGTAATTTGATCTTACTCAACATATACACATCATAATTCACAGTTATACATATCAAATACTGTTTGCATAAAAATAATGATAGCGTTTTAAGATTTCAAGACATTTCCTACAGAGAATTTAATCACTTTTAGTTTGGTGAATCTATTCCTACTTTTTTTCTTTTCTTCCCAGTTCCTCATTAATTGGAGTCGCTCCTCACGAAAGATCACTTAGTTCTCCTATTTCCATGCCAACAACAGATCTCAGTAGTAGCGGTATTGGTCGTGGTGCTCCTGGTGGTGGTAGCATGGACATAGATGAGTCGAGCAGTAGATATGCAGCATTAGATCCCACATCTGGAAGTGGTTCACTGAGCACTGCAGGACCAGTCGCTGGTCGACATGGAATGCCTGCTCAAAGACCATCTTCATTACAAGTATGCGTTTTGCGGTAGTATTAATCATCATGTAAATTGTGGTGAAGCTTTTTTCATCTTAATAAACTGCTCGCTCATGACTGTTAGCTCTTGGAGTACGGTTTCATACAAGTCATGTCGATTCGCTTTGCCTGAATACCATTAGTTTGGGTTGGAACCTATAAAGAATTGTTATGTGTTGGCTACTTCAAGTACAATCCTTTTGTATCGCTCATTACCTCCCTCTTTCTTTTTGTATTCACTTTTATTATAGATGTGCTCTTGAATGGGATTGTTGCATCGTATCACATCTCAACAGAATAATCTACAGGAATTTCTTATTTACTTAACTTAATACTGTTTAGTGGAAACGATGACAAGTTCCAAGTTTTCTGAACCCCTTGATAGACAGCAAAATGTTTGAATCATGTATCAGTCTATTCTTATTATAGAGAGAGCGAGGTAATGAAGCGTGTTGATGAAAATAATTTATGCACAACATGACGAGTGTTGAACAATTCTACTAAATGGCAAAATAATACAAATGCCCAACATTTTAAAAATACAAATAACCATCTCAGAGTATATATTTCTTACTGACTCTATGGATGATACAATGAAAGATGTGTGTGCTTATTTGTAGAGTAATATATTGGGTACCAGTCGCTATGATTTCAGTTTCAGCCTACTCACCAGATTTGAAATTTTCTAAATTGATAATTTTAAGAAACTCATTTCATTCATTTTTGTATTGGTTATTTGAATCTGCTCATCGATGTTTAGGACTGCAGTTGATCAATTTCTTACTGGCATATAGGCATCCTGTGCAGATTGCCTCGATATTGCCTTAAGTCACAAGCATTATAACCGATGATGTTGGCTAACAGTGAAATCCAGGACGTGCATTTCGTCCTATTTGGGACTCGTCATCTGGATGTACCTGCATCCCAGCTAGTAGCTATCTGGACTCAGTAGCTAAGTGGATAACGCGATGGCGTTTGAAGTGAATAGTACTGGTTTCATGTCCGGAGTGAACACCAATTCTGGGATGCAAGTACATCCAACCGACGAGTCCCAAATAGGATAAAACGCGAGTCCTGGAATCCACTGTTAGCCACTATCCATCCCTGCTTATAACTCATTTCAGTTAGTTCTCATCGAATTTTTTTTACTCATTTCTCAATACATTGGTACGTTCAAGTTACTGTTGTAGAACTCCTGTATTATTTTAATATTATAAATGATCACTTTAATTGGGTCATGTGGTTGATATATTTCTCTTTGTTCTTTTTTTTAATGTCTATATTAGGACCCTCCCGATGCACATGGATGTACCACAGCTTCACAGATTCCTTGTTTAATGGATTTTACATTTCTCAAAGTATTAGGCAAAGGTAGTTTCGGGAAAGTAATGCTTGCTGAGTATAAATCAACTGGTGAAGTATTTGCTGTAAAAGTTTTAAAAAAAGAAGTTATATTACAAGATGAAGATGTGGATTGCACTTTAACCGAAAGACGTATTCTTGTTTTGGCTGCACATCATCCATTCTTGACGGCTCTCTATTGTGCATTTCAAACCGAGGTAATATATAGAAATTGTTTACCAGTGTTACTAAATTCTATATTTAATTGGTCTTTTCTCGACCCTTTCACCTTTCTCTATTGAATTAGACTTACTGTATGTGGGTCAGTCAGTTTAAAAATTGGTTATCCTTCATAACAAGTATTAAAATAGTGTTCAATTTTCACTAGACCGTTTATTTACTTAATTCAAATCTTATCTCAATACAAGATAATTAAATCATAGGTGATAGGAAGAATAGTGAAACGCTACAATCCGTTGATGAAGTAAATTCTAACTGACCTACGAAGTTGTGATCGTAGCACGTCAGTCAGTTAGATGCAATGCGAAACCTAACACAGGAACATTGACTCAACTTGTCACACCTCATTAGCTCATCGAAACAAAATTATCAAGACAAATCTGAAGTACTAGAAGTAGTGATAGCATTAGTTTATTTATTTATTTTAACACATAGATATCGGTACAAGGAGGCACCAAATACATATGCGCCACACGAATCTCAATTGATTTGTGTGAGGGCTGTGATACTGCTCGGGTGCCCAAATCGAAGCAGATGGTTTTCTTAGGGGGCCACACCCCGAGCCTTCGATCTGAACGTCTGACCCACAAGGCAGTGGATCATCGTAAGGAGATGCAGTCCCATGGTAACCGGTGACCAACGATTGGTTCATACACCATTTGTTCCTTCAGGATACTGGAGCCCATGTGCACCATTGGTTTGGGATCCGGTTAAAGCGCCGGAAATTCGCTTTTCGTCCTCTCATTTTCGTAAACAACAGTAATGCCACGAGAAGGCAGTGAGTAGGACTTCCCTGACAGAGGCTATATACTTGTGGCCATGTGAGAGCATTTGGAGAGGGAGAGCTGACTCTCCCCACTCTCGGCCGTACCAGGGCATTTGGGGGGCGACAGCATTAGTAGCAGTAGTAGTGCAGTGAACGAGAGCACAGATGGGGACAATCAAATGAATTTGAATACAAAATTACAGAACACCTTAGTAAAATCTAAAAACCATACAGTAAATACTTCATTTGCAAAAATCCATCAATTGTTTCAGACTTTGTCGTTCCTTTGTTTTCATACCAATCACTCTCTGTTCTCGTTCTCTTCGATTTTCTTAGCCTTCTGCCAACAGGCATTCCACTTTCGATTGGTAATACATGTTACTTATATCTCCCGATATCAGTAGCATATACCACAGTAGGAGTAGTACTTTATCTGTTTTTTTTTAATTTGTCTATGTTAGTTACTTCATCTTTTTTCGTCTGTCTCTTCACAATTTCATTAATGTTATTGTCTAGTGAATATTTAATTTAATACTCATTTATATAAATAGTTATCCGCTCAAATGAAATAAATATTAATTAATCGAATCCCTTTTTCTTTTCCTAGTTATCACTTTTTTTAGTTGTATAACCAGTTCCTCCTACATCTAACCTCCATATTACTGTCTTCATAATTCGAACGTATTTGAAAAGGAATATCCTTTTTGATTACAGATATCCAAACTTTAAGTTATCATATTTACTGGGTTCCGTATTATTGACACTTGTATATGGTGACTAGTTAAATATTTATTTCATTGAATATGCCCAAGTCAATATCAAGCAATCTTTCAATAACTTCGTTGGTTTAACATTTGAGTTGCAACCTGTATAAACAGATAAATATATCGATTATACTATCAAGGTTTACTTAATGGTCATGGTGGAATGTTACTTTCGTTTACTTAATCTTTTTTATTTATTGATTGATGATTGTACTTACCTATCTCTTTAAATGTACACTAAATAGGACCGTCTATTTTTTGTCATGGAATATGTGAATGGTGGTGATTTAATGTTTCAAATACAACGTGCACGCCGATTTGATGAGGCTCGTGCAAGATTCTACGCTGCGGAAGTTATCTTAGCTTTAATGTTTCTGCATAATCATCATATTGTTTATCGAGATTTAAAATTAGATAACATTCTACTGGATGCTGAAGGACATTGTAAATTAGCTGATTTTGGTATGTGTAAAGAAGGTATGAAACCGGGGCGATCAACATCAACATTTTGTGGTACACCGGATTATATTGCACCAGAGGTTCGTTCTTTTTCCCGGACAATTTTGTTATTTATGTGTTTTGGATAATATAATATCATCCTAACCTATTGTAACACTGAATTTGTTTTAGCTTGTAACGGAAATATAATCGTTACCAATTAAAGTTTAAGTTGACATCGATTGTATGTATAAATAACACTGATGTTAATTGGTGAGGGGTTGTAATAATTTTATTTATAGAAGGATATTGTTGCCAATAATGATTGCATAATGAGTCGGTGGCTCAGTGATTAAAACATTCAAGTTTTAGTCACTAATTCCTTGTTTTAAACCCTCACTCTAACTACTTCGGTTTGAAAACCAGGTAACATCACTAGCCGTCACACTTAGAGTGTAGCTCAAATCGTGTTAGACGGATCAATAATAATAGCAACAACAGTAATGTTAGTTATTATTATTATTATTATTATTATTATTATTATTATTATTATTATTATTATTATTATTATTATTATTATTATTATTATTATTACAGTTTCACTAATCAATTATGCTGTTCATTATCTTAATAAAATTTTGTCAGTTTGTATGTGAGCTCTATCTGAGACACGGTATTGTCGTTCATTCAACCTTTCAATTGTGAATAGCTCGTATACTGTTCTAATGACATCGAATTTCGTCAACCTAACAAATGAATCAATAATGTATCAATTTTTTTGTGGATAAATATTCACTCTTTTAAATGTTGGACTCCATATTCTAAGAAGCTTAGTGTCTGTGTAAATTTCTACATGCATATATATATATATATATCTTTTTTCCCCAACAGATTCTTGCTGAACTTGACTATGGATTCAGTGTTGATTGGTGGGCCTTAGGTGTATTAATGTATGAAATGATGGCTGGTGCTCCACCATTTGAAGGTGATACAGAACAAGATTTATTTAATGCTATTTCTTATGAAGAAGTTACTTATCCGCCAAATTTGAATCCAGATGCTGTAGATATTTTATCAAAAGTATGAGCTTTCGATAATTCATTTTCGTGGTTTTGTTTGTATGTGAAAAAGCATGTGGAATAATCCAATCTCTTTTAAATTCAGTTCATCGTAATTTTCTTAGATAAATCTGTTATTATTGTAGTGTCCTTTGAAATTAGAGGATTTGTGTAAGGTTACTAGTATCTGATCATAGGTGTCCTTCAGATAGTGCTTGCCTATTTTATAACAACCGGATGGTTAAGCTTATTCTTGCTTATGGTTGATAAAGATACTAAACCATTTGATGAGTCTGTGAATCTTCATCAACTGAGGTCGTTGGAATATATGCAACACATGCACAACTATGCACAATACTGGTGCTCCTAGAAGCAGATTAAAAGTAAGCTGGGGGTGACCAAATGAAGATATGACATGACGTTAAGAATTCATTGAGTATTGTTCTCACTCGTTAGGACAGTAACAGATTTGCTCGTTGAATTTCAATTGATAATTGTGAGTGATTTTTGGAGACCAGAGGTGACCTAACTCACCGTTCGTTTCATCAAATAGGCATTATTTTCTATTCTGGTTGTTGATTTGTGTGTTAGCTTTATCTTCGTAGGATGGATACCAAAAGAATTTTGTTGGACCATCGTTATCTTACTTCAGTGACAACTGCCTAAACGATGTAGAAAATGTTTGTTTGGGCAGAGTATGAACGATAACGCAAAATGTGTGTTACTATTGTGAAAACACATTTTTCGATGTGTAGTCACTTTTTATGCATACCGTTCTAGCCACTCGTGATTAAAGTATTAGGTTTTCATTCTGTAGGTCACAGGTCCGAAACTCACCCCGTCTACTTTGAGTTCAGTAGCCATGCCTTATAACGAGCCCTCACACTAAATGTGTAACTTAAATCAAATACATCAAGTTGGCAAATAATTAACTTGTATCTATTCTTGTCACATTTCTATGCAATTTTTTATCTAACCATCAAGTGTGTCACCCTATTCTGGTCGTGTTTTGTGACATTGTACACAAGTACGTTTTCTTATAATAATCGTTGAAGGCCTGTTGTACATGTGTTCACTTCACCTGTGTATTTCTGTACACTTACTATCTTATGCATTGTACATCACTTTGTTTACTTTATTCATCGTTTATAAACTCATTTAACGAGTGAGATTTTGAGTAGGCCGGAATGGCTTCTCTAGTGCTATGCCTATTTCTTCTGTCTACCTAAACGAATACATGAAATGTACGCTTTCAAAATACTTTATTATCCGACTTATTTTATTCCGTTAGCACTAACTCCAATTAGTCAAAAAGCATATTATTAAGGGTCTATATTTCATTGGGATCATTGTTCGTCCTCACTTACAATCAACTGGATGGAAGCTACAAATTACATAAAAATTATTTTTTCGAAAGTTACTTCAATGGTAGTAATATATAAAAAAGATCGTATATAAGGATATGGTATAAAGAGATAGAATTAGTTGGTAGAAGGAAAGCTATAAAGTAATTTCAGTCTCACGATTTAAAGAAAGACAAAGAGTGTATATACCTACTCCATTGTGATCGGTTCGGAACGATGTCACCCAGAGTCTCCAACCACCGGTTACAATAGTCGGGCACACCCCGACCAAGTAGTTTGCATCTACCAACATGGCTCAGACCACAAGTTACTGATTTTATGTATTGATGCCATGTTTTGGTTTGGCCGCCCCCAACTTTCCTTCATCCAACACCACTCAGCATTGCGCACCACAGAAGTCGGTACTTGGATTAAGTCATATAATTTCTCGAAATAGAGGCTAGTTTAACAATTCTATCGTAATTTTCTAATTATATTCTTGATTTCAAATAAGATAAACCTTAAATGAACAGAATCTGCCTCGACATTTTTTGCCTACTTCAATTATTTGTCTTTAAATACCTTTCCACTTTAGAATGTTATCTTCAGATTTTGTTCCCATCGCTTTGTTCAGTGTATATGTATCCTATTTCATAAAATTATCCAATGAAAAACTAAGTCAAAATTGTAATCATTACATTAAATAAAAATCTTTTCATACTATTTAGTTTCTAGTCAAATCACCATCTCGAAGACTTGGATGTGTACCAGCTGATGGTGGAGAGTTAGCTATCCAACGTCATCCATTCTTTAAAGAAATAGATTGGCAAATATTGGAAGAACGTCGTGTACGACCACCATTTCGTCCAAAAGTTCGTTCTAGAATAGATACAAGCAATTTTGATAAGGTATACAAATAAATTGATTATGGTTTTGTTGTTCTTTTCTTTATATTGAACTAAGTTTTGAATATCTGTGGAAGTTATACATATCATACTAAAGTATTTCATTTTCTTCAATGCTGAATAGACTGGATTATTGGTTTGACATGATTCCCACTTATTAAAATCATAATTTTATGTTCTCCACAACTCTGTCGTGTTTTTTTTTTTTGCAATAAACATACTCTGAATTAGAATTACTTATTCAGAAATCATGTTCAACTGACCATAAATATCCATCTGCACAAGTTTTTCACGTAATCAATTTAGTACAGGAAAATGTAATTTACAAAGTGTATATAATAGTCTGAACAAATTAATTGACATATCACGTCTCGGTGTTCACATCCCATCTTACGGTTAAATTATAAAACAAAGCAATTATATGCACCTACCCATATTCCTTGTCTTGATCAGAAAAGAAATTGTATATAAACGAATGTATATTATCAGTTTGACAATTATACCGTACTACTTTAATTTCAATACTCTCATTGGCATTGTAGATTTCGTGTACCATATGAAGTGTATATCCTAATTGAATCAGATTATAGAATACAAAAGTATGGTAAATACAATTGAAAGACAAATAACTTGAATCTCATTAGTTCATGTTGCCAATACGATATTTTAATAAATAGGCTAGAAAAAAAAAATAGATAGTTGATCAGTACTTGTTATCTTTTGAGGTTTGTCTTTTTTCAATCAATGCTCCATTTTACAGTGGAAAACTGACTAAATTTTATATCAAACCAACATCTGATCTCCATAAATTACTACTAATCTATTTTTTATTTTAAAAAAAAAAGAGAATGGTGTATACGTTTAATTTTCCAAATACCATACATACTTATCATTTGATTCTTTTATATTTTGTGCTTATATTAAGTTTAAAAAACAAAAATACCATTCATTCCATGGTTGGGTTTTTTTTTCACCAAGCAACGTAATGAACTTAAGATATTTACGTAAGAAATAAAGGTGCAGTAATATTGCTTATCCATTTGAAATATATCCATATTTACAATAGGTATGGATGATATTATGACCATGTGGGTTGATAGAGTACTTGATTCAACACTGACCAGTATCGGTAACAAATAAAATTCCTTTGTCTTCTCTCATCTCATCTAAATGCCTTAGTACAGCCGAAGGTGAGAAGAGTCCTCCCTCTCTCAAAATGCTCTCATATGTACACGTGTATATAGCAACTGCCAGAAAATTCCTCACGGTGGAGTTGTTTACGACATTGAGAGGACGGAGTAATAACCTAGGGGAGTAGAAAAACTCTGGTTACTAACCAATGGTTTACATGGACTGCAGAATTCTGAGGGGACCCTTTAAGAAATTTATTTATACTGTTACTGTTAAATTATTGATCTAACAAAAATACTACTATGTGCCAATATATCTTAAATCAATCTGAAATTCTAACAGAAAAATTATTTATATTCTGATTAGCTAATAAAATTATTCCCCCTATGTAGTAATAGTAGTAGTAGTGTGAAGTGTTTCGAGTTGAATATTTTGAAATCTCTATTTCTATTTTAGTCCATGTTTGTATTGGTTATCTGAATCTTCCTATTGATGTTTAGGACTGCAATTGATTAGTCTCTTATTGACATACGTGCATCCTATACAAATTGTCTCAATTTCGCCTTAAGTCACAAGCATTATAAATGGAGATGATGGTGGCCAATAGTGGGATCCAGAACGTGCGTTTCAACCTATTTGGGACTTGTCATCTGGATGTACCTACATCTCCGAGTTGATTTTCACTCTGGGACTCGAATCAAGCACCGTTCGCTTCAAACGCCATCACGTTGATCACTAAGCTACTGAGTCCAGATAGCCACTATCTTGTACAATGGGATAAAGTTTTAATTCATTTTTTTATTGGTTGTTTAAATCTTCCCATTGGTGTTTAAGAATTCACTTGATCGGTTTATCATCAACTCTGTGACGCAGATACATCCAGTTTAAGAGTCTCAAATAAGACGAAGTGCGAGTCCTGGATTCCTCTGCTATTCATCATCATCTCCGCCTGTAATTTGAGTCCCGCGTGCGGGATCGTGATTGCACACTGAGTCCCGTACTAGGACGAGATGACCGTCTAGTGCTTCCTGGTTCTGAATGGTGGTCTAGCTTAGATCGATTTGTGAATTCAACTGTGAAAATACTAAAATTTCCACAAATCTCCATATTGATTATAATCCTATTTCGATTATTTTCTAGTAAACTGCGTACATTTATTGTGTAGATTGTGAAATGCAAAGGTAGTTTTAAATCATATCTTTTATTCTTAATATTATTTAGTATATCTTATTCAATTGTTCTTACCTAGATTCAGCCTCATTTTTCATTCATAGTGAACTATTGCCACTACTATTAAGTTGATTTGATTTCCTATTTGTTTAGGATTTCACTACTGAAGAACCTGTTTTAACTCCATCGGATAATTCTTCGGAATTGGCCGCTATAGCTCAAGATGTTTTTGCTGATTTTGACTGTTTTAATGTGGACTACAGTGTCATGCGATATCATACAACACGACCCAGTCAACAACAGCCTTTACAATCTGTTATTGGAGGTCTATATACATCAAGTCCAACTTATCCAAACAGTGGATCTTTCGCACCATCACCACCACCATCAACTGTATTGAGTAATTCCCCTAAGGCGATGGCGGCTACTACCTGTGAAAGTAGTAACAGTAGTCATGTTCCGTCCACTCCAGATCCTTGCAATCCTAAAACAAATTCTCCACTTTCATTTCCCGATAGTGGTACATCTTGTCTATCTCATTCATCATGTAACACTTCACGATTGACCATTCCATCTGGACAAATTAGTAATTCTTCTATTCCTCCTACTCATAGTGCACCGACTTCTCCAACCCGTTCTCATTCCAATATCACAGCTTATGGCGATAAAGCAATGACCAAATGGCTTGCTCATTGATTTAAGCTAATTCATCGCATAGTGTATCAGTGTTACGTCGTTAGTGACATCATCCATGACCTTGAAAAATGTTGCCTCTTGATTCCACTGAGAACTCTTATTTGATCCTGGTTCCAAACTCACTATTATAGTATCTTGAGTGAATATTCTCCATTCCTTCGTGTGTAACAACAACATATTTCAGTGTTCGTACGTGTGTGTGTGTGTAGTATACATAAGCTCCAGTCATTTTTCTCATGTGAACTACGTATTTCATCGACCTTCTTTCTCAAACTGTGGCAATAGTAATAGCGGTAGTATTAATAGTAATCAAATACGCATTTCGTCTTATTATTATTATTATTATTATTATTATTATTATTATTATTATTATTATTATCTGTAATACAAAAAGTACATTGTGTAGAGTTGTCTGTGATTGTTTTGATTTTTTTTCTTTCTGTGTCCATTTTCGTTTCTTTTTTTTCATTTCTCATATTAGTCAAGAAGAATACTTTATTCTCTATGTGTTGTTGTTATATAACTCACTGATTTAATTATTTTCTCCATTTTTATGTTTTATTACAATTGTGATTAGTGTATTCTCTTTATCATTTCATTTTACAATGGATATTCATCAAATATATATATATATATATATATATATATATATCCTAATGAGTACCACAAATTTAATCAATTCCTTATTAACCCCCTATATGATCTGTTTACCAATTATATAGTGATGTATACATATATCAATCTGTACATGTATATGTATTTGCATTTACATATAACAATGAATGTTTATGGTTATAAGATATTCAACAGGAAAATAAATGAATTGACTAAAATCACTTACTTACTTACTATTGTTTATGAGTAATATTCTCTTTTTTTTCTTCTGTTTGTTTTTTGTTTTCGCATTTCACTTTATGTTATATTTCTTTCTCTTCTTCAATATGTGTATTTGTTTCAAATGATAAAAACTTTCAATAAAGTAATAATGATCATTTTAGACCAATCCTATTGATGTTATTGATATGTTTATGTTCTTCAGTTATATTGAATACATATTCAATCTCACTTGTTTTAAAGTAATTGTTAAATGACAGAGAATATTTTGACTTTGTTAATTAAAATAAATGTTTCCTTCCTTGGCTTCAAGCAATTATTTGTGTATGTATTTATGTGAACCAGCTAAGCACCCTTTGTGAATTAACTGGTTATCATCAATGCATTGATAAAAATAATATTACGCAATATTTGCCTTGTTATTATTTCTCGAAATTATGCATATATACTTCCTATTTCTGTACTACTTTTACTACTATTAACGGTAAATAGTAGTAGTAGTAATAGTATCACAGCTCTCTCTCATTTGATTACCATTTTGTAAATGTCTTCTTTGAAATGTTGCTTGTTTTATTTCTTATCATTTTTTTCTTGCTAGTTATTTCAGTGTTGTCATGATTGTTTGTTTCCGTTCTATGGAAGAATTGCGTTTTACTCCTGTTGTTTTCCATCATTTCTTAACTTTTTGTGTATTTTAACTAGTATTTGCCATGATATATCATCTTGGTATTATCGATATATATTTTTCAAAAGTAAAATTGCATTTTTATGTTTTTTTTCCTCAACTTTCTAATCTCTACAATAACCTAGTTATATTATTGCATTTTCCCCTTGGTTATCTTCAGATGGATTCTAGACAAATTGAAGTATGGTTTAATAATGATGATAATTCTTTTGTTGATGTGATTTCCATATCATGACTTTGTTTTTTTTTTCTATTTCATCAACTTTTTTGACAAAAATATATCCAATGGAACCAAGTATTATCTATGTGTGTGACTAGAAATCTCTTGAAGATCATGCTTTCATCTATCTCATTGTTTGTTCGTTTCGAATTTATCCAACTAGGCGAATTCTGCTTTTCTTCCTAATAATAACTAATTGCATTTTTCAATTTCATAGATTTATATATATACATATATATCTCCCAAAGTATTCTATTTCAAGATTTTATCTGTTCATTTTCTATTTGACTTTTCTATGCATGTAAACTAGTCGTTTTATTAATAGGTAAAACTTATGTGTCATACTTACCTCCTTCTCACTAAACAACTTGTATGTCAAGTGTTCCGTCTATGTTGTCTAAAATCCATTAGTTATTACTTAGCTTCTTTCTCTTACAGTCTTAAAATTGGTCATGTTTTCTGCTCTTGAACCTTCTTTCATAATGAGATCATGTAATTGTTGTATTGATTATTATTTGAAAAATAAATGTTTTACTTGTTATTCCATTTCTTTTATTATAAAACTGCTTTGTTTTTCCTTTATTGTCAAACCTTCTTCTTATACATTATTATTACACTTGAATTGTTTCAACCAGTTTGTTTGTTATTTTTGTCCACTATTTTATCATTTTTATGCGTATTGTATCTTGTTGTTACAGTTACCTAGCGCTCACATACATACACATCGTATTATTTCATTTTTTTTATTGGAATATTTGTTGTTTATTATTGTTATCATCATCATCATTGTCTTCATCTCTCCTCTCCCCTCTCTCTCTTTGTCTCTCTAGCGACACTCATTATTATTATTACTATTATGATTATCATAACCAATAATTGGTGTTTATTAGCCTGTCCGTTATATTTATCATTATACACTTATTAAAATCAGCATATTCACTTATTATGAATAATAATATCGTTATAATTATTTTTATGTAGCTTTTTCATGGAAATCTTTATATTTTTTCTTGGTTTTTGCTTGAATTCTCTTTCTCTCTCGCCCCCTCTCTCTCTCTCTCTTTTCTGGTGATGTATTGTATGCATTTTATTTTTAAAAGAAAAAAAATTTTTTGGCGTTTAATATATTTGTTAGTTTAATTAATTTATTGATTGATTAGTTTCTTATTTCATTTCTCAAATCATTTGTTTATTTATTTGTTTATCTTTACATTATTTTTGTGTGTTCATTTTGCTGGTCGAAGTTATAGAAGAAAAAATATATCTATACGATTATTTTGTTGTTATCGGTATTTTTTGTTTGTTAAAAGTTTTTATTTTGATCTCTTATATAGGACTTAAAACTGTAACCTTCTTCTTCCCACCACTGGAATTCACCCCACCCCCATCGTCACTCCAGTACAACATATACGTATTTTTTTAAAAAGAAAAAAAAAAAAGAAAATGTAAACGACAAATACAATTAATATAAGTTTACACTTGACTTTACATGGACACTAATCGTTTTTATGTATATTCATAAATATATATTCATTAATTGTGTACTATCATATGAGTTGATGGTAAATATCATTAGTCAATCAGAATATAAAACTTCTAATATGGTGATAACCTTCTTGTGTATACATTGTTCATTATTAATATTTCATTGTTGAATAATGAAATCACTCATATATATATATATATATATATATATATATATATATATATATATTTCTGCTTATACATACATGCATAAACGTTTTTGTTTCCGTGTTATAAGTCGTTAATTCACACCACCCCCCACATACATACATACATACATACATACACATACTCCATCTTCTATCATTTTCTGTTCAGTTTCCACTTTTCTTTTCTTTTTCATTATTTTAACTCTCTTGTTTATTTATACATATTGATTTGTGCTTGAGATTGTCTTTGCCAGTTATAATTGGCTTGAATCAATTGTGTTTCATTCGATATCTCGATTTAAAATTTCATTTATCTTTGTTCTTCTTACCTTTGAATGATAATTATTTTATTATTACTATTATTATTATTATCAGTAATAATGATAATTATGACCAGTAATTATATGGAAATTATTTCGCTTGTGTTATTTTGATTTACTGAATATTAGAGAGGAAAATATACCGTTGAATTAGATACCGATAAACATAATAATGATATTAACATGTACAATTTGTTGTGTATTTTTAATGTTCACACACACTCCATCATTGTAAGAGTTAGAACACAAAATCCATTAAACTACAATTTCAAATAGTAGTTATAGTGGTTTGCCTAGGACCGAGTTAGATAGAGTGTTTTTAAGCGGCCTATGCCCCTCCATGAATGGTAACAGGTGTAAGTAAGTAAGTAAAAGTTATAGAGGTTATTTAATAAGTTAAATGACGAAAAATCAGTTTAATTTAATAGTCTCTCGAATATTTCAAAAATTATCATTAGTATTCTCAAACAACTATGTTAAATATGTACCTTGGGAGTTCTTGTTTACCAACTATTCGTTGAGTTCCATTCATTCGTTTTGTGTTTGTGTTTTAGAGATTTTACGAATGTTGATCAAATATGATTTTACTTCAAATTAACACAGAAGTTTCCCTCAGTATAGATAAATAAAATAGATTCTTGCACAGTTGTATGTACATTCACATTATAATATCCTATGAGTATAACCAGTGAAATATTAGCAGAATGTAGTGACTTTCAGTTAAGAACAATGACGCCTGATAGCAGTAGACATTTAATAGGATAATAAATCGATAAAACAGCGCATGATTATATTACCCACATAATGGAATTCTGAATTGATGGCTTAAGGGTTAATACTCAACTATCAATCAATTGGTAGCAGGTCCGAATCCTCCCATCTCTATATAGTAGTGTGCAGATGTGCCTAACGTTACATATGATAGATTGAAGTTCTCCATGCCTTTCATTTTTGTCATTGTTTATCTAGTTAACGAAATGGATCAGTTATTCTTTATCATTTTTTCACTCAAGTTGACACAAACAGATCCTATCATGATTTTCATTTCTGTCGACACTGCTTATAAAGGTAATATACCATCTGTCTGTTCCGAGACTAACAAATCTCCAGATTGAAGATGAGCCCCTGGAATCCACAGAAAGGAATTACTTTCAGTGACATAGCAAATTTTTAAAAAATATATACACAATGATAAATACTAACGAATACCACTTTGCATAGTCGCTTCATATGATAGTTCACTACAAATCCTATTATTTGACTTGGTA